TCGAGGTTCCACTGAGAAAATATCTTCCTAAGCCTGTCAACCAGTCTCAGGGGGCACTTCAGTGCTTAAAAATTTAGTCGTCCACCGTCAAAACGGAAAGGGACAGAAACTACGACGGGAACCTCAGCGTGTATCTTCATTTATCTGAATTCCCCAGAGGGTTAAACCGAGTAATTACTGTAAATGAAAAAGCTGTCTTTTATATGATCCTAAACATTTCGCAGCATTATTAACGAAGCTGCCACTTAACTAAGCAACAATGTTAATTTCGTATGATGCACGATCCTCGCAGTAGAGAGCGCTATTTATGCAATAGCGAAAATCAGACCTGAAAAAAATCAGGCCTGATTTTTTTCAGGTCTGATTTTCGCTATTGCATAAATAGCGCTCTCTACTGCGAGGATCGTGCATCATACGAAATTAACATTGTTGCTTAGTTAAGTGGCAGCTTCGTTAATAATGCTGCGAAATGTTTTGGATCATATAAAAGACAGCTTTTTCATTTACAGTAATTACTCCGTTTAACCCTCTGGGGAATTCAGATAAATGAAGATACACGCTGAGGTTCCCGTCGTAGTTTCTGTCCCTTTCCGTTTTGACGGTGGACGACTAAATTTTTAAGCACTGAAGTGCCCCCTGAGACTGGTTGACAGGCTTAGGAAGATATTTTCTCAGTGGAACCTCGACTTAACGATATGCCAAGGGACTGGGATGATTCATTCGTTCTATCGAGGGTTCGTTACATCGAGGTTTTGTGGCACACATTTTACTGTAGCTTTAGCTGGGCTGAAGCTGGAGTATCGTTTGTTATACCGAGGACTTCGTTATATAGAGGTTCGTTAAATCGAGGTTCCACTGTATTATGATTTTCCAATCAATATTTAGTTTTTTTTTTTTTTTTTAATATGAATAATAAAATTATATTCGATTTTCTTCAGTCTCTGACCTGAAATTAACATTGTTGCTAAGTTAAGTGGCAGCGTCGTTAATAATGTTGCGAAATGTTTAGGATCATGCAAAAGACAGATTTTACATTTGCAGTAATTAATTGTTCAACCCTCAGGAGAATTCAGATAGATCAGGTTGCGCGACAAGGTTTCTGTGGCAGTTTTTCTCGCACTCTCTTTTTTTTTTGGGGAGGGGGGATTTTGACGGTTGACAGCTAAATTGTTAAGCCTTGCACATATATAAGAAGATATTTTATTATCATTTTCAATCAATATTAAGTTATTCTTTCTAATAAGAAAATTTGAATGATAAAATTAGATCCGATTTTTTTCAGTCTCCAACCTACCTCCCCAAATTATAGTTGCGAAAAACATTATCAGAACTTTGCAAACCTGATAGTTTTAGTCCAGAGCACAGTAGGGCACAAAAGGGACGAGAGACACAGAGGATTTAATGAACGTAAACAAGAGCTACTGCATCGAAAAAATGAATTAATATGAGTTTTTGATTCGAGAAAGAAACTCCTTGTTTCGGGGAAACGTTTACTATCGATCTCAAACTTAATCCTTTGCAAGTTTTTGAGTGATCTTTCGCTCCAGTGCAATCAAATCTAGGATACGTTTCTCCTAAATTTCATCTTGATATCCTATATTCTGTAAGCGTATCTTAAGACACTAAGAGTTTTTATTAAACGTGGAGCACAACGAGTTTATTCTTAGAAGGCGTAGCACTTCTCATTTTACGAGTCTTTTCTTTGCGCCTGTATTCGACGGTCTTCGTCTCTTTATTGAAAGCGTTTGGAAATAAAGGGTGGATTCCCTGTTAAACTACTCGCTTTTGTACACATTTGTGTCCAAGAACATAATTTCTGAGTCGCAGTCGGATCGCGTCGTGCGTGGTATTTTTTACAGAACGTAGCTGTTTGCCCGTCTTCCAAATTTTTCTTTACTAGCTGCCTTTGGTTCTGTTGCACAGACAGAAAACGTCGTAAACATACTTCTGCTAAAGTAGCGATTTCGTTGTGCTCTGGGCGATATCCCTTTTATATTTTTACCATGGATATGTTTTGGGCAAAAGCTACTACCGTTGTGGTATTCTTTACCCTTCTCGTTCGGTTTGTGAGAAAAAGTATCGAGTTCCCTGATAATAACGGTAACAATGGCGCGCAAAGCAAACTGGTTGAGCGTGGCCCCTATAACAGCTATCTACTAAGGACTTTGGGCTCTAGGTTTTCTTTTCATGAATATATTTTTTTAAACTTCTCCTTCTACTTTTTGTCTTCTTCGTCTTCGTATTCTTCATCAGTAACATTTTAATGCATACAAATAGTAGCTGATCAAGGCACGACAAAGATGTCGCTTCTCTGTTTGTTTTAGGAAACCAACGAAGGAATGCGGGTCAACTCTATAAGCCGTCGTCACTTCTTCTTCATTTTGGGTATTGGAGGATTCGCAATCTTTGCGTTCATATACGTGAGAAGTAAAAATCCTGGTAGGTGGTTTTAAATGCAAGCACATATGTATACCACGAAATGTTCTCGGAATCTAACACCGATGTAATCACTTTAGTAATACAAACATTTTTTTAAGAAGGAGGTAGAGGCTAAGAGAAAGCTTAGTCTTATACCCAGACCCTCTACGGAATAGATGGTAGGATCTGGGTACGAGGTTACAGGAAGCCCACTACTATGATCTATGTTGTTTATGTTTTTATTTATGTATTGTTTATGTTTTTTGTAATCCCGCCCAAAAAGGTTTACCCCGTGCGAAATTTAAATGTGTAGTGAAATTACGTCGTTCATCTGATTAAACTAGTTTCTGTTTGTATACTTCCGTGTCAGATACAATGAAATATATGAAGTTCATATATTTTGAACTGCGGTATTAGATACGTATGATGCACGATCCTCGCAGTAGATAGCGCTATTTAAGCAATAGCGAATATCAGACCTGAAAAAAATCAGGCCTGTACGGGATTCGAACCACTGACCTCTGCGATACTAGTGCAGCGCTCTACCAATTGAGCTAACAAGCCAACTGGGAGCAGGCCGTTAAGTTGATTCGTAATAAACCCGTGAAAGTGATAAATCAGA